CCCTCCCTACTATGAATAGCATTTCACGTGCCATTCTGCCAGTACTCTGATTATGTTTTGATTATCCATCCCTAACACAATAGCAGTCTCTATTTTCTGTGTCCATATATAGTATGCCACTGTCCGGCTGAACTGGCTGCCCCTTCAATGCTAAGCGCATATAAATGACAGCTGTCATAAGCATTAGGAGAGATTAAACCTGATTTATGCGAGTATATACATTTTCTGTAATCTTTGCAATATTCTGCTTCAAAGTAACAAAACAACACCTCCATCTCGGTTTGTGCATCTCTGATTGGGGAAGCGCTTTCCTGTCGAACGGGAACTGCGTGCATTTCTGCCGCTTTTCATGGAATCGCTGAAAAATTCGACCCGGTATGTGTTTGTAGGTACTATGGGATTATACTCTTAAGGGCTTTAATGGGTATTCTGTAACGGTATTATATTTAGAGAGAGCCACCACCTTACAAGGTTCTGGCCACTATTATGGAATCCTATTGTCACTACAGCTTTTTTTTTTTTTTTTTTAATATCTCTCAGCCATTTAGAATTCCCTCATATTTACTGTAAACCTAATCTGCATTATTCTATGTGTTAACATTGTTGACGCTCAAGTGTATTTCATTTTGCTCCACAGATCATCCACACACACACACACATAAACACACACACACACACAAAACGAGGCAAAAGCATTTAGGTTTGCACTTTAGAACAGCTACAGTCACAGATTAAGCTGGATGCATTAATGGATTATGGGACAATGTTTTTTTTTTTTTTTCCCCTATTTGACTTCTCTGCAGTCACTCGGATGACGTAGCGGGATTATTGTACAATGCTGCAACCGCTTTTCTCTAAACAGAAGCGATAGGGAGACGGGCAGTCGGCGGCAACGCTACGAGGAGAAAGAAGTTTAAGAATACTCCTGATTAAATCAGATGCAAACTTAAATGATTTTTCTGTCGGCTCGTTAAGCCTTCCTGCGGCCCGGGCACATGCTCGCATTTTACCCAACTCATCACAAGCTGTCACTTTTAGACTGCACAGATGTAATCTCTCAGGGTTAAAAGTGAGTGGCAACAGGGGGGGAAAAGCCAAAAAGTGTTTGCACAAATTCAGATGGTGAATGCAGATAATCCTAACAGTGTCACTTCCAGCTCTTTATGTTAATCTAAACTTGCAGTTAGCAGAGTAAACGCTGATCAGTTTGTGCATCTTGGGATAGATGTTAGAGACCAGGGGTGATGATTTAACTACTTTTAAGTGTTTCTACACTTTCAGCAGGGTTGGAAAACACATTATATGGATCTAATTGAATCAGTTTCATGCATCTTTCGTGCATAATGTTTTTTTTCTACTCTTTCTGACAGTCAAAGGTTTGTCCAGTTGCTTTATTCACCGCTGACCCCGACTGATCTCAACATGATGCCTCCCCGAGAGGTGGTTTCTGCTTTATGGACTAACTCAGATTTGCAGCGGGATTTGCAGAATGGCACATGGGGCCCTGTGACACGAACCGTCACAGGTCATTGGGTTAAGATGGGATGTTGCCTTCCTAGACCATCAAATCCAGGAACAACTGGGAATCAGCCCGCGTTCGGAAAAGGAGAGATAGTGTGACGCTCTTTTTTTTGCTGACAAATGGAGGGCCGGGGAGGCGCACGGTTTGAACTTTGAGCGCGGTGATTGGTCCGTCCCCCCCGAGGGGTTGGATGGTGGGTGCAAGACTGTACTAAAACAATTCAACTCAATCTCCTTGCATAACAGAGGAATGGTGAATGACCTTTATGTGAGCATGCTTCACACATAAAGGTCATTCAATCCCCCACCACCACCACCACCACCACCACCACCCCGCCCCTCAAATCCTTGCAGTCTGTACATAGTGTACCAACCTGAGAGGATGCTGACTGTAAGATATTAGGTCATCTTTTCTATCTTCAGCACTCATGTTCCTTTACAGAGGGAGAGAGAGAGAGAGAGTCTGATCTTAGGGGAAAAAGTGAAGAATGTAATTACACGACTGTAGAAGTCTTTCACCTTCTGTCAGGATACTCCGGCACCTTAGTGGCTTTGCATGTCCATTTTCTCTTCAGCGTTAACTTCTTATGCATTTTATGAAAATTTACACACTTGCATTGCATTAAAAAAAAGGGCATATCATTCAACTTTGCAGCCCAGATGTACTTTGCTGAAGAATATATAGGTCGACTGGGAAAAAAACAATCAAAAAAAGGTGCATTTTAACACAAACCGTGAATCAAAAGTGAGCAAATCTCTGAAACAAGGTCCCAAAGAGGAGGAGAAAGTTGCCCCACAACCGAATCTGAAAGGAGAATGTGTGTTGACAATGTGTCGTTAACTTATCTGCCATCTCCTTTGAAAAGGTTTAAATTTGTGGTCCATGTGAAACTCTGCTTGCAGCAACTTTCAAGGTCAAACACCTCTCAATATGTCATTTACCTCCCCCCACCTCGCCCTCCTCCCGCCGGAGACACAAAAGGAAATATGTGGCCCAAAAGTCGCAACACCATATGAAGAAGAAAGCAAATATTTAATGTTTGTTCCCCTCTTCTCTTTATGGTAGGTGGCAAGTTTTGGCTGTCTAAACACACATTTACAACAAACAAGTGGAGGAGACCGGAGAGGAAACACTGACATTCCAGCTGACTGTCTCTATGGAAAGCCATTAAAGGTAAAGTCATTCTCTTTTCCGTGTGTCAAAATACCCTCAGAGTAACAGTAACACCGACCAAAGGCTTGTATTCATTTCACTCAGCGGCCGGGACTTTGTCGCCGCTCTCAAAGGCTCACAAATCTTAGCTGAGTGCGTGGTTTTGAAATCCGCATCCATCAAAAGCGACGCTCAGTAAACACCAGTACGTGTGAGTCAACCTGAAACTTACAAATCCCTTACTTTTTTTTTTTTTCCCCTTTCACATGCCTTTGACTAGAAAACAGAAATCCCTGAAGTAATCTGAGAGAAAGTCAGATTGGAATTAATTGAGCTGGCTGAGATTTTTAATGAACAGGTGGACTCGCATCGGTGCCGGTTTGTGGTGAGAAACCCTAAACTGTGGCTTTTAAATCAGGAGAAGAATGGACATTTGATCCATTAAATTAAGTAAAGTAAATATGGAAGAAGAAGTGCTATGACTTTGTCATTGTTCTCCCATTACTGCTTTGATCTACTGCTTACTTCACTTGAAAATTACTTTAATGGGAAACACGACTTTGACAGGGACAGATACTTAAAAAAATACATCATCCTTTGCCAAAGTTAAAATGGAACAAGTCGGTCAGCGGGTAGTCGTGTCTATCTATCTATCTATNTCTATCTATCTATCTATCTATCTATCTATCTATCTATCTATCTATCTATCTATCTATCTATCTATCTATCTATCTATCTATCTATCTATCATATCCTTTATTGCCTTCATTAAAGATTATAAAGTTAAAAAGTACACATGGTTTGATGTCAAATTAAAGCTAGAAAATGCACTTTAATTATGGAAAATTTTTGTGTTTAATGAGATATTCTTTTTTCTTTCTGTCTATATTGAATCACTCTTTCACAGTTTTATTTGTTTATTTTTTTAAATGGTAGGACATTGCAAAATAATCTAAGTTTATTCCTCAAATATGATATATTTAATCTGTAAGTAATAAAAGAAAACTGGACTGCTCAGGCTATATGATCATCTACAGTTTAAATAATCATCCATCCCATTGAGATTTCATGTAAAGTTTGAGGAGTGACCATGTCAGTGCCACAATCTGTGTCTTTTAAATAAAATATATTCAACTTTCAGTATTTTTCCCCACTAAAAAAAAACAAAAAAACAAAAAAAAACACCAGAGATGGGAGTAATTTCTCTCCTCAGCTTGACTTCAGACTGCTCAGTTCTGCTGCTGGACTTGTGGAAATGTTGGATTGTTTAAATTGTAACCGCTAGAGGGATACATATACGCCTTCCAAACTCCGTAAACACCATCCTATCACTATGTGCCATGGAGGAGAATTACCGTCAGTGAGAGTTGCCTACCTGTGTGACTTCCCACTATGAAAAAAAAAAAAGAAAAAAAAAACACACACTCACACTCACACACACACACATACTCAGTCAGCCCCGGAACATTTGAAACATGACTTGTTCTTTAAAACACTTTGAGAGTAACTGCCTCTAAAAGCGGACGACGAGCTCCGACTCCTCCAAGTGTATCTGCTCCAGGCAATCAATGAGGACCGCGATGGTTACTTCTGCAGCTCTCTGTCCCTGTGTCTCTCCTTCGCCTCACCAGATATTATAGTGCATTTCAACTTTTGTGCAGAACATACAGGCAAGCAGAAAGAAAAGAGAAAAAAAAAACTGAAGAAGAAGAAGCAGAAGAAGGAGGAAGTTTTGGATTTTTTATTTTTTTTTCTCCACATTTTTACGCACGTTTTACCTCTTGTTTTCTGTAAATAAATATGAGAGGGTCGCTTTGCTGTCACTTTTCTTTGGAATTTAATAGGCTGTGTGCCATTTCTTATGCTGTTTTACGGGTAGGATAAGGAAACAACAAAAAGGTGTGACAAGAGCTTGGCGGACAACTGTGGATTTCTGCGAGTAACTCCTACCGTCCAAAGGGGATGAGGGGGGCATCGGCCGGACCCCCCTCTTGATTGATTACTTATTAGTCATCCCTTTGGCTAAATGGGACCCACTGAAAAGGCACCGTGGAACACATACATGAATCAAATATTCCTGTGTCCCCTGAATGTCTCCAGAGTAGTTTTGCTTAAGAGAGGGGGTCGTGGCTTAGCATTATAAAGAGGGAAAAACAGCATAGCTTTATGGGTTTATTTAGACAGTTTCTACGGTTTGACATTCTACCGCTGTAAAAAAGAGAGAGAAGGAAAAACTCGAGAGGATCCCAAAGAGAAGAACATTGTGGACATATTTTTTTTTCTAGTTATACCGTTGTTTCTTTATTTTTATTTTTATTTTTTATTTTTTTAAATTTTTCCCACCTTCTTATTTTAAATATTTTTTTGCCATTTCCTCTCCCGAAAAATGAAACTTTGGACATCACCCTGGGTGTCTTGCCTGGTGATTCTCATCTTGTGTTTTGGATCAGATTGCGGGACAGTCCGGCGAAAGGGGAGATCCAAGAGGGAGTTGGTGCGCATTAGGGAGGCGAAAGCCACCATCCCAGGGGCTTGTGCCACACGTCTGCCCCGGGGCAAACGCTCTTTGCCCGGCTTGGAGCGACGGGTGCTTCGCCAGCGCCGGCGCTCCTCTCAGGCGGAGGAAAACTCTCCAGACCGGGGGAAAGCTGTCTATTTCACCGGCAGGGGAGACCAGCTCCGGCTGAAGCCTGGCGTGGAGATACCCAGAGGCAATTTTACTCTGGAGATGTGGATCAAACCGGAGGGAGGTCAACGATCGCCCACAGTGATCGCAGGTAGGATAGTCTACACATCCTCCATCCTATTGTCAACTCCTTTTATTAGTCTTAACTCCAAACTGGCGACATAATGACACCCAAACATGCAAATGTTCTGTGATTTATCCCAGTGTCATGCAGTCTATCAAACAAAGCAACATGCAGTTTCAGCGAGTTGAAAATGAGTTCATCTATCAGACTAGACAATGATGTAATGCTCTGAAAAGTGCAGCGGATATTTTAGGTAGTGCAACTACAGGGTCACTGAAGATTTTGATCACATTTAAGTTTTGCCACCTTACACACAGATAATGGCTGCAGCAGAATCCTACGACGCAAATGCATTTTTTTTTATTTTTTTGGTTTATCTCTCCCCCCTCCTCCTCTTCCCCTTCTACACACACACTTTGGAATTCATCTGAGTTGTGATCATAAAAATCCAAACGAGGAACATGAGCAGCAGATATAGGCTACCGCATCATTTGACCGGCAGCTGATGTCACCGTGCGTAAAAATGTAATTTCTCTGAACCTACTTGGCTATTTTAAAGCTATGATGTAATGGCCAAAACTTTGTGAGCGAGCACGTCACGTCAGGCACAAAAGCGGCTCGTTGTATGTGGAGGCGCTCAAAGCACGCAGCTCCACAAGCCGCAAGCTGGAGTGTGTGTATATATGTGTATATGTGTGTGTCCCCTTCATCTCCACCCCCCCACCCAAAAAAAAAAAAAAAAATCGACACCTTTGGATTGGCTACCGGAGTTACGAGACAGGACCGAGAGAGATCCAGGGTTTCCCCCTCTTCTTGCGCGAAAATGTTACTGCATGTGTTTGTGTGCTGGTGGCGCGCTTTTTTTCCCTCTCTGTTACGCTGTTTGCGCACAGTGTCTCCAAAAAACGCATGTGCGAATTCACCGACCAGTTAAAGGCACCATCAGATAGTGATGATGCATCTCAGAGTTGGACACAGGAGTCACTCCGGTAGATGTCTGCCTTCAGGGGGTGGTGGGGGGAGAGCTTGACACTTGGTCATCTGTGCGCACTGCTTGTCTGCAGCCATGCGTAAAGGAGCACCAGAAAGGCGTTAAAACTGCATCATTTGTTTTTTGACCAATGGCGCTTTTGTGCATTACAGTATTGGATAGGGCTTTTTTTTTTCTTTTACTTCTTTTCCTTGCCGATAGGGAGCGTTGCATACACAACTCATTGCCTGCTACAGTACTTGTGCAGATGGCTGCCTTTGAACTGAACTGAACTGAATTGAACTCAGTCCTCCTCTAGCTTATGCCAGTCTGCACGTTTGGGGGACTTTTATTGACCAGTATAAGTAAATTTACGCGCTCTGTTATTTTCTATCTGTCTCTCAAAACCACCTCTGCTCCTCCACACGCGCATAAATAATTATTTGTGCGTGTGCATGTGTGTGTGTGGAGATACAGTACACTTTTAGGTAGCGGGAGCCAATTGGCAGGGACGTGCTGTGCAAAACCAATCCCTTGTAAGAGTCTCAAACTGGAGGAGAGGGGGGTGAGAGGGTCTGTTGCGACCTGAGTGACTCCTAGATTTTACAGGGGATGGACACGATAACAAGAACATCTGTACAGTATAACGCAATCCAGTGCGACAACAACACGACCACCGTATTGACCACAGTCCTGACAGGAGATGAACCTCAACAGGCCTTACAGATGTGTCCCATAATTCTGTACAGGTGTTGTTGTTGTGCCCAGCCCCCCCCACCTTGTGCTTGGCTTCTGCCCACCAGAGATTACTCTTGGTGCAATAATCTTATGTGTTCATTTCAAAAAATTTTCAGTCTACAAGAGAGGGTGAACGTAAAGAAAACAAATATGATTATCAAGCAAATTCTAATCTTTTAAATCCAATTCAGACCTCAAAAATCCCAGCGCCTGTAAAAATGCTCCATCCCCTTGTTTTGATCCCGCCAGTGTTGTTTGCAGCAGCTGTTTTCTTTTTGAACATGTTGTTTTTGTCCACTGCTATTTCTCTTTATCGCGCTCCTTCTTTTTCATTCTTTCATGCTCTCCTTCTTCTAGATTTCAATTTCCCCTCTCGGTTAAATGGTGCCTCATGGTGTTGTTTTCTGTGCACGCTGTGGCATCGTTATACGGCGGTTTGCTAAATGAAAACTAGGAGATTACTTTTGTGTCTTTGACCAGTTTTGGTGTCATCTTCTTGTCAACGGTTTTTGAGTTGCCTCTTGGAGATTATTCTGAATGGAATGTCGGCCAGAACGTCTCCATTTAGGGAAAACCGATGAATGAAAACTTGACATATGAAGGGGAAGCTTCACGTAAATGACTGTTAAAGATTTAGCTGATTGCATTTATCTAGTTTGGTAACATAACTTGAGTTGTTCTGTGAAGTTAGCTTTTACATAAGAGTTCCTCAGAGTTGGTGGAGCAGATTTGGATGCTGTCTTTTTTTAAAGTTGATGCTCAAGGATCCATCGCTGTTGCATTGTCGTCTACAGGTGACCAATCAAAGCATGAGTGAATATAAAATGTGGGACCTTTAAATTCAGCCAAAAGGCAGAAAAGGATCCCGTCCTGTGCCGTCATTCCCCAAGTTTGACAGTTACATGTGCTCAGAAGTGACCCCCAGTTTAAAAGCATTTGAGCCATAAGACAGACATCACACACACATTTACACACTTCATACGTGCACACCCATCCACACTCACATCCATAACCACACGACCGGGACATGAAGTTCTATGTCCAAATGTTATGCCACCTTTGTTGTCCCCTATTAGCCCTTGTATCCGGGTCATGTTGGGTTGTCCCGCATCAAAGAAAGAGGAAAATAAATTACAAGGGGAATAGCGGCTTTCTTCCATGACCTGCTGGAGACAATTATATGCAGACATTGGCAGATAATTGCTGTGATAACAGATATATCTTGTTGCTTTGCCCCTACTGTGATGATACACACAGAAAGAACGTTTAGAAAGTAATTTTTGCTTGTTTAGGGCTTTTTTCATGGGCAGCAGTTTCACCTTCTTGTTTAATTATAGTCAAATACGAAGAGGACGGTGAACATCGTAAGTAAGTTGAGATCATAAGTAATTACTTGCCAAGTGGTTGGAGTTTGAAGAGAGGTTGAGGACTGACTCCAATACTTATGCTCAAGCAAACATGACTTCAACAAGGACTTTAAACTTCTTAATTTGAAACATTATTACGTCCATGCACGATGAGTGTTTGGAAAAGGGTTGCTGAACGCCCCGAAATACAGATGAATGCTCTTGCATTTAACAGGAAGGTTCTCTATGATGACAGTGTCGCAGTACAAGCAGCACTGGTGGAAAAGCGGTCTTAATTTATGTCATGTGACATTCAAAGACTTGTTTAAGTGCAGCTATTGGCAGATCATTTAGAACTCATTACAACCAACGTTTGGTTGAATTAACTCAGACTGAAACTTGACAGCTAAATGTTTGAAGTCAAGGGCTTGAAAGTGGTGTGATGACATTTTTTATAATTAATATCCTTGTTATGTTCATTAAGTTTGTTTTTAAAATATCAATGGAATTTTCCATTGTCTACTCAGGGAAATCGCTGGCGGTCACTTTAGTATGACTATGAAAAGTGCCTTTCTTTGACCTTTCAGATCCAGAACAGTTCAAAAGTAAACGGAGTCTTCATTGTTCCCTTCCTCCCTGCTTTTTATCAAGTCCTTGTGACATTTTTCTTTGTGTGTGTATGTGTGTTTTTTTACTTTTTCTTTTTTCCTGAGTGTGTTTTTATGGAAGAAGACAAATGGCAAGTGCAAGGAAGGTTGCTTTTGAACCTGACGGGCACAGCGCTCGACTGTAGCGCGTGCACATGCAAATCCCCTTTGTGTGCGTTTCTACGTGAACACAAATGTGCGCTCCAGTGTTTCAGGTTTGTCTGTGCAGATGGGCGTGTGCGTATTTGTTCATGAGAATGTATATATGCATGTCTGCATAAGTATGCGCATATGTGTGAGTAGGTGTGTTTGTGCGAGCTCGAGCAGTCGCAGCGTTGGGTCTGGAAAAGTGTAGCGTGTTAGATTAATTGAGCATGGCAGAATTATGACAGCTGTTTACACTAGGAGCCCTACGAGCATTTTAGCACACCTTTTAGCCTTGAGTGCACTAGCTGACAGATGGAAGGCTTTTTCCTTCCAGTGTAGTGGAAAGCCTAAAAACGTCATCCACCAAAGGACTGACCTTGACGCTGAACCCAACCCTCACTCTTTGAACATTAGTCCATTGAAATACCAAGTTAATGAATGCATACTGCAGTGTGCATCTAATTAGAAACAGGTCAAAGTTAGCAAGATGTCTGTGCAATCACCATTAGCCAGCCACTTACTGCAGGCTCGGGTAGCGTAATCGATGGGGAACAAAGGCATCCGAGTAGACAAGTGTGTCGAGGCAAAGATGTGCTCATCGCGGTGATAATCAGCTTTCAGACCATAATAAAGGTAGTGGAGACAAATATGAAGGGTGTTTACAGGAATTTGAAGCACTGATCCTGACAGCAACTGTAAAGGACACTTCATACCCACATGGGCTGCGTGTGCAGGTCACAGATTGAGTGTCACTTTGTGGAAAGATAAAATTACCTGAAAGCTCATGAAGTGCTACCCTGATGTTAGCAATTCTAGAAAATGACAAGAGTGGAGTTCAGCTCTATCACCTGTGAACACAAAGATTTCCACAAGCTGAAACGAACCTTGTAAGGCATTTTTCAAGGAGCTTTGGAATCTCTGCACACTTTGGCTGGGTCGTATGGATATATGCACAAAGTCATGAACACGCATTAACAAACACACATGCCACAGATGTGAACTTGTGTGCCTGCACACACGTACCTCAACAAGCGCTAAACAAACAAACAGTTAGCATTCAGAGATCCCCTAAGAAGTGAAAACACATTACCATGCTGAAGCTGACATGCACGGTCCAAGTGAAACAGGAAAAAGGTGTTTTGGTGCCTCTACAAAAACAAGGCTTTAGCAGAAAACTAGCCTTTTCTGGCTACCCCACTGGCAAGGGACATTTACACGAACGGCTTTAAATGTGCTCAGTGTTCACGAAAAGCCTATACAGAGAGATTTCCATGGGGTCTCCCTTAGCTAAACATGCACTTCAACCCAATTTCCAGGACAACACACCCATACATATCAAAAAATCATGTTAATACGGTTTCTCCCTGATCCTATACCCATTTTCAGTTTTCCTGTAGAAATAACACTTTACAGAAAATTCTGAATGAGCTATGGGATGTTCAAAATACATTGAAATTTTGTGAGCAGACTGACCAAGTTAGTTAAGAATTGATTGTACTGTATATGACTCGTGTGGATCACAAACTGCTTGACACAACAAAGACATATAGAAAGTGTCTTATTACTAAGTCTACAAAGGTGCTGCAAACTAGCAAACAAACTTTTAGTTAATGCTTTTACTGTCTTTCTTGTTTATCCACATTAAAATCTGGAATTGAAGGCATGCATATATTAATTGACTTTTATTCATTCTCTCTCCAGGCCTATACGACAAATGCTTCTATGCCTCCAGTGACCGAGGCTGGCTGCTTGGCATCCAGGCGGTTAGTGAATACGGGAACCGTGAACCTCGCTTCTTCTTCTCCCTTAAAACCGATCGCGCCCACAAAGTGACTTCCATCCACTCCAATGCTCGCTACATACCCAACCAGTGGGCACATGTGGCCATTACATATGATGGTGTGTACATGAAGCTCTTCATCAATGGGGCCCAGGTTGGCGTTAGTCGGGAGCAATCGGGTGACGTCTTCAGTCACTTGACCAAAAAGTGCAAAGTCCTGATGATTGGGGGGAATGCACTGAATCATAATTACAGGGGAGCAGTGGAGAGGGTGGGTCTATGGAGGCAGGCCCGAGGGCAGAGGCATATTATCAGGGATATGCTGGGCCACGAGGACCCTCAAGATCTACCTCAGCTGGTCATTCGTGAAACCTTCGAGCACCCAGGCCGTAAGTGGCTGACTGTAAAAGATGGTAGTTTTCCTCAGCCCGAGCAAGGAGGAGGTGGACGATTTGGGATTCTAGGTGGCGGTGGTGGCGTTGGAAATTCGGAGGGATTATTGGACACAAACCTGGAGCCTCCAACTTGTGGTCAAACTGTCTGTGACAATGTCGAGGTTGTTAAAAACTACAACCAGCTTTGGAACTTCCGTCGGCCCAAGAAAGTTCGATATCGCGTCATAAATATTTGGGACGATGCAAGGACAAGGCCAACTGTATCAGACCACCAGATCAGCCTGCAGCACCAGCAGCTCAATGATGCCTTTAGTCCCTACAACATCACTTGGGAGCTCAGCATTCACAATGTGACCAATTCCTCTCTACGTAACCGTTTGATTCTAGCTAACTGTGATATCAGCAAAGTTGGTGACGATGCATGTGACCCAGAATGCAACCATCCGCTGACTGGGTACGATGCAGGTGACTGCATGTCTGGGCATCGGATCCGCTGCCCCGAACACAAGCAGGGGAATGGTATATGTGACCCTGAATGTAACTGGGAAAACTTCTCCTATGATCTTGGCGACTGCTGTAACCCCAATGTGACGGACGTGACCAAGACGTGCTTCAACCGCTCCTCTCCTCACAAGTAAGAACTCTTTCTTCACATTTTGCATGTTACCTTGTTTTTGGTAGTAAGTAACCACCGGATTCTGTGCTTTTTTTTTTTGGCTGAAATAATAGAGTCATTTTTGTAAACCAACCCCACACAATAGCCTCACATGCCTCGAGTAAATCAAACAGCAAATCTTTCCATACATGCATCCCTGAAGAACTGTCTTTATGTCTAGTCCTACTGTTTCCTGACCATTTGGGCTGAGGCTGAGTGTAACTTAACTCTCAGCCTGTGTGGCCCAGGAAATCCTCTGGGGGCTGCTAGTCCAATCTAGCCTTGGCCTGGTTCAATCAGTGTTCCACACTTAAGCGGGGCAAAACAAACGCAACCGGATGACTTTCCTGGTAGCAAATGCGAAGGCCAGACCGCTCATTTTTGTATCCAGTTTTCAACAACTCTCCCCACCTTTTTCTACTCTGTGTCTCCTAGACCCAGTGGTCTTAATTAAGCCGGCTTGATTGGAGAAGGGAGTAGGTTTGGAAAGAGTGACATTCTAAACAGAGTGTAAGGGCAATTTGAGGTCAAAAAGAGAGCCCAGTATGGCTTTTTTTCTTCTAGCAAAGGAAGTCATTTCAAAGACATACCCCTCTCACATGTGTCCTGGAGAGGCAGGTATAGGTTCTTAAACATGGGGTGCCTGAGAGAATTTTCCAGGAAAAACAGTGAAGAAAGTTCCCTTTGCTTGCATATAAATGAACCAGTGTTAGAGATTTTCCTAGAGGTGTCTAGGAGCACTGTATAGGAAGAAAGAGAGGATGTGATTTCACATGGTAACTTCAGGAGAATACAGAGGCATTCATAAATGCAGGCAAATTTTTGTTTTTGTGGTAACTTCATTGTGGTTTTTAGATGATGAGTAAAAGCTGGCAAGGAGAATAAATCTCTGGAATTTGCTGTAATAAGGTTTGTGCCAGACCTCCAATAGCAGGATTGTTTGTTTCTTGGTACACTGAAACTCAACACAGTAGAGTGAGACATTTTTGTGGACAATGCAGGGGGTCTTTATGGGTACGCCAGGAAAAGAGACAACAATGACCGATGTTTGTCAGTGTTTCTTGCCACTGTCATGTGAGGACAAGTGAAAGGGAGAAAAACAAGTAGACCTAGTGTGTGGGATTGTTTGGGTCTTTCTGATAGCATGAATCAAGGAGACAAGGCTGTTTTCAATCACAGTTAAGCTGGGAGCACTGTCTGTTTGGCACTATCCTGTTGTTTAAAATGACCGCTAAATAGCTAAATAATGACATCTAATTAACAACATCAGAGGGAAATGCAGGTGGGTTTGCCTTTGCTTCCATATCTCAATTCCCACCACATCCCCTCTAACTTAGCCATCATTACAAGCTCATTCATCAAGTGGCAGCTAACTACTTCGTTTAGACATCAGCCACTAGCGAAATGCTTGCCGTTGCGATGTTCAAATCTCCCCCGTGGGCCTTTGAAAGACGGGCTCATGAAAGACAGGATACCAGCGAGAGTGAGAATGAAACACAGAAAACAGACAAGAGAAATCGCCGTCTAAAAAATAGATATAATCTCCCCAAGTGGTTGCTTATTTTGCTTTGATTATGGTATGTCTGGAGAGACTTGCAGAGAGCTGCACTACAAACAGTTTGACATTCCTCCTTAATTATGGAATTCTGGATGAACAATGTACTGCGTATGCAGGGGAACAATGGTTGTGAGGTCCTGCATTTATTTTTGCAGCATTTGCGCCTGTTACCACTTACGTGTAGTGTTTTCAGAAATCTGGCTAACACAGGACACAGGCAGCTCTGTGGTCCTGCAGCAGTCTCTCTTCTGAAAATACCATTGATAATAACCCCCCCATCCCTCCCTCCACATTTGGCTGAAGGAAATATTTTGCATTGTTTTCACAGGCCTCGGTTTTGACACTTCTTATGGTTTTGGTGGTATTTGATGTTATCTGACAGCATTATTTTAAGACAGAACTTTCTTATGTCTGGAGCTGGGGATGGCTAAAATCATGTCTGTAATTTATACAATGAGAATTTACATTATGTGTGCAGAAGGGATGAAAAACAAATGGCACGCTGAATAAGTTGTTTGAGAAGCCGATCCGTGTGTTTGACTGTCCATGAAGGATCAATGTAATTTCAGAGCAACTGGATACAAGATCAATCCCATGATACAGGAAGTCGATCCAAGCAGGAGACTTTTGTGAGCACCTGGAATTAAAATGCTTAGAAAATGCCCTCCCCAAAGTAAAGCAAGATAGATAAACAAACTTTGCTTGGTAGATATTGGAACCATTTCAGCCTCAATATGGTTTTGGGAAATGAAGTTCTGGCCTGGCATTGTCAAGGGCTAATAGGTCATCTGTTTTCCCTCGGCCTCTGTCTCTCTCCCCCTCTTGAGTCAATACCTCTCACTGTGGCAGGTTAATGGATGGACCACCTTATGTCTTTCATTCACTCCCTCTCCCTGCTGTATTCTAGCTCAGTGCAGGGAGCTAATCTCCAGGGCCCTTGACTTGGGTGTTTTACAGTTGGTCGTCTAAACCTTAAGCCCCCGTCCCATAAAACATAATAGAGTGCTTGGGCGTAAATACCAGGACTTTGCACTTCCCCTTTAAAGCCGTAGCACACTTATAAAAACACCTGTTGTCAAGGTTTCACCTGTGCTCTCATGGGGGCTGGTAGAAGTCTGAAGGAGGAGGTTTTGCATAGCTATTGGGGTAAAGGGAATGTGGGGGGCGGGGGGTGAGGGGCTTGACTTGGGCCACCGTTAGGAATGCAGGGGAGTTGCATCTGGCTATGACAGGATAACATGTAGCCAGATACCGTTGGTGGTCCTTTAGAAAATACGACACACCAGGGAATTGGGCTGATATTGCATTGCCAAGGTAATTGTGGTGCAGAAGTCAAGGAGGGCGCTGATGAAGAGGCTCGCACATTTCTGCCAAAACGGAGAGATCCCAGCCCAGTTAAGAGCTTCGGATGGGAACTGGGAACGTTAAAAGAGCCACCTGATCGTCCACCCCGTACGTCTCTGGATCTTTTTTAAACTCAGTTCTTATACACGTCTCCTCCTTGGAAGGGGAAAAAATAATCAGAGGACTAAGCTGGAAGGTTAAAGAGGAGAGTGCAAGTATAGTAATAAAGCCAGAGATGAATGATGGGTTTAGGGGCTGTGGTGTTGACCGACTTGATGACAGGGGAGCTGAGGGCCCCCTCCAATTTCAAAAGTGTTCTTGGCTGTGAGACTGTCATTGCCATGCCAGCTCACCCCGGCGTTCACACTATGCTGCCCCAGACATATGTATACGAGGCAAATTTATGGGCTTATATGAATTATATATGGATGTAAATGGATGAAGTCATAATCCCCCATTTAATATGTATCAGATATAAAAGCATTAACACGACAGTTTGGGCTGCCTTGCGCACCCCTGGATCTCCCTACAACAGATGCCCTGCAGTGATGCTTCATTAGAGTGAGGCTCAATTTTCTATACTCACCTTTCCCAATTTCCCTTCCTCATTTTTTCTCTCCCCATTCTCTCTCTCTTTCTCTCTCTCTCTCTCTGTAAGTCTTTGAAAGTTGTTTTCCCAGGACTTGTCTAAAAAGTGGTGTGGTTAAATGCATGGAAAATCCTGTCTTCCCAAGTGGCTCATCTATGCTGAAAAAAAAAAAAAAAAGGATGATGAGAGGCAAGAGTGGGGGGAACAGGGGCTTATGTGATGGGGAAATAGTTGAGGGGTGTGAGAGAAAGAACACCGAGGGCGGGGTAGAGCGGGGCAAAGGGTTATTGGCAAGGAGGTTTGAGTAAGATGTGAGTAGACAGATAGAAAGACAGAATGTTTAAAAAGGTCCAATCTGTTCTGACTACAAACACCCTCATGATGAATTCATTGGGTACAGATTTCCTGCAGTGGCTGCTAACCAAAACCTCTACCAGCTCTTTACCAACATGTTAATAGACACTGTGTGAAATCAGAAACATGCATGTATGCAAATGCAGGAATACGAATGGGTTTTATCCCCCCCCCACGAACAATTAGACTGAAGCGGTCTGTTTTTGTTCTGAATCCCCCCTCACATGTTACAGGGCCAAGAGTGTTAGAATAATTGAACTCAGATTAGTTCAATTTTGACCCTGCAGTTAGGATCGCTTCTCTTTTTCACTGCTGACTCAATCATTTCAGCATCAAACCCCTCTGACCCCTTTCCCCCCTCATGCATGTCCAAAAACTCTGGACAAATATTTTCTAAGGAAATAATGAAATTCCTGAAATTATTAGGAAGAGGGACCTTATATCATCTGTTCTCTCTCTTGCTCTGTGTCTCTCTCCTTAGACCTGGCCCCAGCGAGTGCCCTCTGTTACTCTTGCATAGGCTTGAAGAAAGCATGTACTACACTGAACCCTTTATTCAGAACGTCTGTTTTTGAATCTTCGCTAAGGCAGCTCCTTATCTAACTTGCGATTTGGGGCCGAGGCAGGCTTGTCCGACGAAGGTTGTTGGGAGATGTTATGAAACATAAAATGTGCATCGGTGGTGATCTTAGTAATGTTGGGAAAATTATCTCACTGGTCAAAATTCCTCCAAACCACTGCCAAACACCACTGTTACTGACTTTTAAATTGCTTCCTTTAGGCTACAGTGAACCTACACGAGGAGAGAGAGCTCGGTTTTATACTTACGCTTTAATAGTTTACGCAGACACTTACTTTTCAAACACGCAACACGAGAAGTATTAACCAAAAAAGGGAGAAAAAAGGCGCACATGGGTGCAGCTGGCCACATTTTAAGGGCTGCTTTAATAAATTTTAAAAATGCATGAGTAGAGTAGATTTTGCAGGTCTAATAATGTAGCTCAACTTTTGAGTCTAGACACACATATAAAATGCTCTAATGAGCTAAAAAGAAATATAATTGGTTTAATAAAAAAAAACAGAAACAGAAATGACAATTTATCTTATGCAATGACCTATAAAGAGAAAACTGGCTTAATGCTGAAAACTCTGTCGAAACACTCAACAGTTACACATCTTATGGCAACTAAATGCTCCATTGTGATTCAGCTGAAGCCACAAGATGTAAAATCTGACCCTCTCTCTGCTTTTACGTCATCTCGGGGTCATTATTCATAAATTGTGCTCTTCATAAATTAGTTCAATGGCAGTAGGCACAGTAGTGAAATTTAACCTGTGCGGAGACGACACTATCAATTATATCCTCTAACTGTGGCTCGCACACAAAGGAAATCAAAACAAGTGTCTTTCTCCGGTGGAACGCTGCACAACCTCATGACTTCACAGCATTTCAGAACATAGTGTAAATACACCTTATTTCAGGTAAGCTATTGAGTGGGAGAGTCAATATAAATAGCACGCTCCAGGATTATGTGCTTCACACACACAAAGGCACGAGTCTTTGAAACTGGTTCTTTTATCTTTATATTTACCTGAGTTCATTTGAGTGGGACGTAAGTGATATGAACTTGAAACAAAGTAAAACATTTACGCTCACAAAATGATATAGCTGAACATTAAAGTGTATTTACGTCTGGAAACATGGAAGTGCAATTAAAAGAAGACATTTTACAGAGGATCATATGTGTTAGATTTAAAAAAAGAAGACATTGCAGTGCACCTTTTTCAAATGTTACACATGTTTACTATACGTTATAAAGCTGTCTCCAAAAAACTTACATTCCTTTACAACAAAACTACATTTTCAGTTGCGATATTCTCAGAGATCACGTTTGTTTGTGACGCATCACAAACACTTTCTAGTCAACTTATCCAACTGTTGCTCCTTCTCAGCCATCCGATACTAGATGGGGATGGGAGTTGTCACCATGGTAACCTAGAAGATGGAGGAGAAGCTTCAAACATGTCAAAGGGTCATATTTTAACGTGAGCTTAACCGAGTTAGTTTTGGTGCACAAAAACCAAACCAGTCTACTGACAAACTTGTGCTACCACCAACCCTCCAACGTCCTAACTTTGTGGCACACTGCTACCTTAGTAGGAGAAAATAGTTGAGAATGCAGTTTGGTTGTACAGGAGCTGAAGTTTTGGTGATAGGATGCATTTTAATTAATTTCTCTTCCTCCATCCCCACTGGTTTCCACCATTTACATTCATGTCTGAGCAACCTGCTTCACCTAAACTCTTTCTTCCAGGTCAAACACAAGACTATTTATTCCATTATTAACCACTCACTTAGGTATGTGTAGATAAGACATGGGCTACCATTCACAAAATTGTGCCAGCAGCGTGAAGTTTACTTGTTCCAGCGAGAGATCAAAGTGTATTATTTCCCATTTGGCTGTACCGCTTCACTGGAGGAGACTCTCGCTGTATAGAGTGGGCTGCTGTAAAGGCATGTTATTTTAGCCTCACTGCACTTAATCTTACCAGGACATGCAAAATATGAGTACAAAATATAAGGCGGGCAAGTGGGTCACGCAAACTAGGTCAAAACATCCGAAGAAGATGTAATTTGTGATAGTAAGACCGATGTCATGTTTTGTTTCTGATAAACTCCTGTTTCTGTATCCATCGAGTATCTATTTCCAAAGACTTCTAAAGCCAGAGGAAAAGAATAAACTATCATTTCAGCATATGCAACAGATTACCGACTCTTCCAAGAGATGACAGAGCAGAGCTTGTTGATGCTGTTTGCCAGGACCACCAGCCAGGCTCAAACAGAGAAAACTGTGTTTGATGTGTTCATAAAATGAATGACAGTTTCACTGCTGGAAAGATATCTCATTGTGTTGAGTGATTGCAGTCATTAGTACTGCCGTTAGTACTCCCAGGGCCAGAGACAAAACATTATATCATGGATAGGAAGACACCAGAATACCTGAACAATTAATTGAGGTCTCCGGCTGACTTGAATGAGTCGATCCCACGTGAGGTGCTTTCAGAAAATAAATGCTGAACACATTTCGCTGTGGATGCGAAAAATGTTTTTGCTGCAGGGACACACACACAGTAGGTTTGTATTAACTCTCATTTGTATGATACATCATTGAATATATTAAGGCTAGTGAGAAGATTTGGAATATGAAGACAAAGCAGGAGGAGTCACCGATTATTTCACTTCATTTGAACAACATTTTAAAAAGCGTTTCTTCCAAGAGCATGGAAAACCATTATGTGACGATATCCATCCATCCATTTTCTATACACCGCTTAATCCTCATTAGGGTCGCGGGGTGGCTGGAGTCTATCCCAGCTGACTTAGGGCGAAGGCAGGGTGTGACAATATCAAGGCATCCAAAAAAAATCAGATTATATTTACTCCCACTGGTTACCGATTACTCCCACCTGCATGTTTGGTGCATACGTGGCTTGCTATGACACCTTTAGTTGTGTGTTTACATGAAGAAGTTGCACACTCAAGGCTTACAAAAGAATCTACTGGTTATTGCATAAAAAAACGTCATGCACATAAAACATCGTTGCTTTGGCAGAAACTTAAATTCGACTTCAAACGGCGCTATATGCTCATAGTTGCATATTCGCGGTTGTTGTACTGTTTATTGCACTTCCTAGACAACGACATCAACACGGTCTTTAATCATCCTTCTATTACACAAGTGTAAGTGAGCCTGAACTCCACCAGCACCGAACCCAATGAGAAGAAATGATGTGATTGATTTAAATTGATACCAGCTTGATTAAAAAGTGAGCAAAATTAACCCCCCCAAAAAAATGACTTAAAAGAAAGTAAAACATGATTATGTAAGTAGCAGTTATGAAATTGTCAAACTACAAGATAGTTTGCAGTGAAGTCGGCCTTTATTCCGCTCGCAGAAACAAAAACATTCTTGTGAGACTTTAAGCCAGAGCGAGGAGAGAAGTCTTTATTAATTTGAGCGTTGCCGGTTAAAGCGCCAAACTGATTTCAACATCACGGGGTCATTCATTCTTCTTGAAACTTCATTCTTTTTGTTTAAATGCCATTGCAATTGCCAGTACACTTTAAAGAAATATTTCAACTCAACAGGGACCTAATTCTGAGCTCTGTTTTCCTGAATGATAACACGACATGAGCTCTTTTTGGCCGGCAACACTGTTTTGTTATTCGTAAAAAACTTCGCCTTGGTGAATTCTGAATTCACTCGGAAGAGACTATCTTCATTATGGAGCTATTAATTTGCTGCGAAATGCTCATTTTCTCTTGTTGATTTATTTTTTCCAGAGCCTATTTGGATGTGAAAGAGCTCAAAGAGATTCTGCATTTGGATGGATCGACTCACCTGAATGTCTTCTTTGCCAATTCTTCTGATGAAGATCTGGCGGGGGTTGCCACTTGGCCCTGGGACAAAGAGGCCCTCACACATTTGGGTAGAAGAAGAAAAAAAAAAAAACACACACACACACACATACATACATGCATGCACACTCACATGCACACACTTCAGCACGTGCACACATCCCTGCTTTGGCAGCCAGGATTGTTGATTTTGAGTAATTACACTTCCAACCCCGAGCAGTTTCTGTCTTCATTACAGCTCCAGCAGGGAAGACGCATTGTAGGAATCTTCCTCCAGTTCCACAATTGCTTTACACTACATTAGGAGCAGGCATTTGTGTTTTTTTGCTTGAGCGTTTCCATCAGGTATACGAGTGACTTCCTGGTCTGTATTTTTTCAGGTGGAATTGTGCTAAATCCCTCCTTCTACGGCACATTCGGTCACACTGACACAATGGTGCATGAGATTGGCCACAGCCTCGGCCTTTACCACGTCTTTCGAGGTATATCCGAGATTGAATCGTGTAATGACGCGTGCCTGGAAACTGAGCCCTCGATGGATACCGGAGATCTGTGCGCAGACACCAACCCCACTCCCAAATACAAAGGCTGCAACGATCCCGAGCCGGGCAACGAAACCTGCGGCTGTCGGCATTTCACACACACGCCGTTTAACAACTACATGAGTTATGCAGGTAAGACGGGGCCTACATGTGTGTTTTGATGCTTTACCTGGGCGACACTGTACAGCCGTACCTTTCACGTGCAAAAACTGACAGGCAGAGGAATTTGTTGAGTTCATACTGAGACAGGTGTGGAATTTTGCAGGGAAAAAAGCATAGGAAGCAAAAATCTGAAGTTATTTAAACGGCAAAACAAACCACACTGATAGATACGAGCAGGCTGCTTGTTTTGTTCACGTGACCTGCGTGCTTTTAATGCTTTCTTTGTTTCCCGATCATTGATCAATCCAAAACTCTACTCTCGCTCTCTTTCATCTGCAGATGATGCATGCACAGACTCTTTCACACTGAACCAGGTGGCGAGGATGCACTGCTACCTGGACCTCATCTACCAGACCTGGCAACCTGCCTCCAAACCTCCTCCGGTGCCAATGGCACCACAAGTGGTCGAGCAGCACCATAATTCCATCACCCTGGAATGGTTTCCACCGATTTCTGGACACTTTTACGACAGGTGAAATGAACTAGATAGGCTGCCAGTCAGACGCTCGCTTGTGACAAGTTGATAAAGATTAATTGCATGACGACGGGTATTCTGCGAATTTATATGCCGATGCTGAATTTATTATCAAATTTGTTCTTCACGACGTAAAATATTTAAATTTACATTTAAAAAAAGTTGAAAGCAGCATGTAAAACCTTTGTTAACCTGATAGTTTGTCACGTAGCTGCTGTCGTTACTATGTACTGTATATATTTGGTCTGTATCTAAGTTGGTTGCTGTGCCTGCCTGTTGGTTTCCTAGAGAAGTGGGATCAGTGTGTGATAAATGCACTGAGGGGAGAGTTCTACTGCAGTACGCCTCCAACTCTTCTTCTCCGCGGCCGTGTGCTCCTTCTGGACACTGGTCCCCTCGAGAGGCTGAAGGTACAGTGCAGAACTTTGTACTTTTTGTCCTTAGGTTTCATGGCATTGCATACTGCCATTCAAGATCAGTAGTTGGTCTGCGACTTCAACACTCCTTTATACCATCTCAGCTGTTCTCTCCTACTGGATGTCAGTATTTGCTTTCTTGATTACAATGATTTCTTTTTACCAAAAACAAATGTCATGTAAAAACAAAGACACATTCACGTCTCATCCACAGTTTACAGTATGATAACATGATCCGAGGTTTGCCCCATGTTGGTTTTCTGAGTCAATACTCCAACATGCAAAAAATTTGGTGACTGACTCAACCCCGAAACATGCAAATGACTCACTGCATTCGTGACATTTGGGCCGTGGGACAAAGTGGAAGGATCAAGGAGGTCGCTTCCCAATGGATGGTGCTGCATGGTACCACGACTCTCATATGAGGGCTCAGGCCTGAAACCAAGGTTAAAGAGCATGTCTTAGCTGTAATTCCCCCATTTTTAAAAATGTAGATTCGGGGGATTTTATTACTATAAAAGCTAAAATTAGAGTTTTAGGAAAAAGGCAGATTTCTCTCCCTTTTCTGATCTTGCTTTGTATTGAATTGATATTAGTGCAACCATACAGGGTCATTATGATGGCACTAAAGATGTTAAAACAAATAGCTGTTGTTCCACCTATGATCACTTTATTAAATAAATGCAGTTACACTACAGACACTTACGGAGTTGTGTTTCCGATAAATATCTCTGGTGATGCAGGGCTTCCCACTGTTCAAATCTGTTTAGTGCCTGAATTGAGGACATTTTCTTGCTTGCACATTAGGACTATATATCTGCTTATCCACACCTGCCAATGCTCTGTTTAATGGATGCGCTAGGTGCTAGCTCAGTTTAGCATTCAGGATTTAATTAGCTAATTCTAGGGATATGGCATCACAGGACTAAAACTAACAGTTGGAGAAACAACCACAACAAACATCAGAGAGACTGAAACACAATGGAGGAATGTCTCTCAAAGGAAGATGCAATATTTTAACATAATTAGCCACAGACAACCATTTAGGATCCATAACTTAAACACGGAGGCCTCGCATCACTGTAAGGTTATGTCGCTTGTGCGACCAAGGTCGATTATCCATCCATTACTCCACTTTTAAATTTAGGAGGCTGACAGGGATTTCAGTGTTTTGGCCCTTACGCTGTGAAACCATCTTTCTCTATATATCACACTAACTAAATCTGTCAAATACTTTAAGCTGCATTCATTTAGGTGATCCTTGATTTGCTTCAAATGTCATGTTGGCACGATACACTTGAATCTACCACTCATTTATTTAGTTGTATCTGCAGTTGAGTACATCTGTATGTACCTGCAGTTTCTGTGGTATGAAGCATGTTTAATACTGAAGCTACAACTAAAGAAATCAGAACCAACCACAGAATACCTATGTAAACATATAAGTAATACTACCCCTGCCACCACTGTGAATAGTAATGGTAGTTGCCTCATTAAAAAGAAAAAGTTGAGTTCGTCACATATGAGCTGAGTTCTAATACCACTATACAGAATCACAGGAATGCCCACTTTCATACGAATCTGGCATAAAATAAATACACATACCCTGTGCTAATGGTATTAGCATCTGTCTGTATACAGTAGGTGCCCATACATACCGTGCCAGTATGAAAGAACAAGTGTGACATGTGCTGAAAGGAATGACGTCATACTGTTGTCTCCTACAGTATATTTTTATATTTGTATGCAGAGCTCAGTGTGAGCATCATAAAGGGTTTCATCAACTGATGAATGGAAAAAGACAGATGGAGACGTGACCACATCTCACAACATTTCAGTGGACCTGTCTTCTCGTGACTGGTTGTCTGGCATAAATTTGTATTGTTGTGTCTTTAACGTTGTGACCACTCAGTCACAACATTAAAACCACCTGCCCAACAATGTGTAGGTCCCCTTTGTGCCACCAAAATAGCTCTGACTCATCAGTTTACTAGACATGCTACCTCTGGGGACGTCCAGTGGTGTCTGGCACTGGGACTTTGGCAGCAGATCCTTTGAATGCTGTAGATGGCAGGTTGGGGCCTCTGTGCATCGGGTTTGTTCCAGCGTATCCCACAGATGTTCGATTAGATTGGGATCTGGTGGGTGTGGAGGGTAGGTCAATGCCTTTGGCTCTTTGTCGTGTTCCTCAGGCCATCCCTGTGTAGTTTCTGTAGTGTGGTGGGGTGCGTTGCCCTGCTTCTCGGTAGTGCCATCACCGTAGGGGTGTGTGCTTGCACAACAATGTTCGGCTGGGTGTAAATGTCAAAGTAACACCCTCATGAATGTCAGGATCCAAGGTCTCCCAGCAGAACATTGATGAAATTATCAACATTGTACTCTACACCTGTCACTGGTCTTAATGTTGTGGCTGACCTTTATATAGGGACAGACACCCAAGCAAAAATATTTCATGATGCCTGATTTGTGAATAAACTGGTAAAGTTTTCTTGACCGTCAGCAAGTGCATTTGGACTTTTATGCTTTGAATTTGGAAGCATAGTCAGTCATCAATAATCAATGAATTAATAGTCAAAACACTACATAACACAATACTATTAAGCAAAATAATTACACCTTACAGCACTACTTTTCTGTCTCTGATTGTGTCACTTTGTCTCCGTGCACGCCTCTGTGTGTCTGTTTGGATGCTCTATAGGTCCTGAAGTCACTGGAGCTTGCCTTTACACTGACTATAGTGTGTGTGTGTGTGTGTGTGTGTGTACCAGAGGCAAGTCTGGACTTGTCTAATATCCTGTGTGTGTAAACTGTACTCTATTTTCCCTCTTGGAATGGGTCCCTGTTTGTGGCAGCTCCTCATTCTCTGTTAACTCTGCGCGGGCCAGCTTCTCACTGGATACACTGGATATCACAGCTGCTGTTCTACTGTGATAGTTCATATGTGTCCAACTTCCATTAGACATTCTGGCAAACTACTGACTCTAAGATACTGCTTACTAAAGCATTGGGATATTAGCTATTGGCGTTTTTTTTTTTTTTTAAATATTTGAAGTCGAGTATGTAAACATAGGCCATGCATATGTGACTTGCATGCGTGTCCACATGCATTCGTCAGCATTCATGCATACATGGCACCTGTTATCTAAGGACTCTCTCCTCACACTACCTGACCGGGAAACACTAGCGTGGCCACAGAGAGCCGGAGTACCTCTCATAAATCTTTACTACTCTATGCCCTGGAGAAATATAGCTGGAGTGAAAAAAAAGCAATAATGAAACAAAGGGCAAAAACACACATGGGTATGGATTCTGGGAGGGGGTAAAAGAGACTGGGTGGGGTTGAAGCCACCCAAGATAGTTAAAAGAATTGCATGTGGTTAGAGGCATTAACAAGGGAGGATCCTGGATTGATTGAAAACAACAGTGTGCATGGGATGAAAGTGAAAAGGTCCAGGATGTATATACATCACATGCACCTAGAGGTGCTTCTACAAAACATGTGCATCGTGCAACCTGGGGCGCAAACACAACGTTTCCTTGCGTGCAAATATCTTTATAAGCAAGCATGTGTGTCTCTGTATGTACAGGTCCAAGATATTAGAAGCCTCAGTACAAGAAATATTGTGTCAAGCCTTGCTCATGAGAAGCCACGCAAGGTTTGTCTGCCTGGCATAATTTGAGAACAGACTGCTAATTTTACTTCATGTTCCAGGCCCCCGATCCAAACAAGAATGCCCACCCAATAAGAACAAAAAAACACACTTTGTTCTTAACCGTTACATAATGTGTGAAACAAAATTTAAACTGAGCGAATCTTAGTGAGCTTTAGTGGTCAACCAAAAGAACCTTTTCACTGCAGCAGAGATGCCAAAGTTAATTCAATGTTTTTAACAGTCATAATGACATTTATTTGACTCTTTCATTTTCTCGTAACAGTTAATCTGCACTTACATAATCCAGTATCTAATTTATTGGCAAAGTCTTTCTAATATCCTGCAAAATATTATTTAAAATTTGGTAGTTATTACACTCTTTCAGTGCTTCAAGTGCTTTGGGACAAAAAAAAAAAAAAGAGAGAGAAGTGACGATGACATTGGTCGTCTTTTCTTGACACTTTGATGGCATCCCAGAGTTGATTTTATCACTCTCTGTCATTCATTGCTGTCACAGAATTGGCAATATTGAACACAAATGCAAGTGATCAAAGGATGAGACTATTGTCATCCCTCCTGCCAAGATCAAGCAAAGTGCATTGGCCACGGTTTGACAAATTCACCAATAAATGTCTGAATATTTATTTCGCTATAATATTGTCACCCCTAATGAGCAGTAACTGAAGAGAGAAAAACACAGTGTTCTTCATTAAAATCTGGTCATTTTTTTTATTTGGCAAATTTGCTGTTTAATCCAAAAATAATCAGGAAACGTGTATCTTAAACATCTACCTTTTGCATATTGCGTTTTTTTTCTGATAGTGATGCGCACCAGAAGTAAGTCTGAACGCAACGTGATGTCACATCGATTCCCAACCTGTAGAGTGTCTGTTGCCTTTATAAAGCGTGTCTGCGAAGCGTCTCTCTGTTTGTGTGTACGTCAGGGCACGAGGGTTGGAGGGGGTTGATGTCTGCCTTCGAAGTGAGGAAGTGTGTAACAGTGTGTGACAGTGAGTCATCGATAGTGAGAGCCAGAGCCAGACACTTCTTAGAAAGCATAAAGCATGCATGCCCCGACATATCCCTGTCTGTTTATTCATCCCGCTCCCTGGACTTTTTGTGGATCAGTACGATTCTCCAGAGCAGAAGGATTATGACTGGATAGTAGGCAGACACCAGCATCTTTGCTGGAGTTATACATCACCAACTTTCCCCGTTGTCAGATGGCTTTACAAATTGATTGAGCTTAAAATATGGCAGAAAAAAAACGACCCATGCAGAGCACAACAAATCGATTAGTGGCGGAAATTAATGTTAAAGTGTTTAATCATAACCATCAGATCCATCTATCCATAAATACCACCGAAGTTCTGACAATGAATACAGTGAACTGCCAGTGAAGGTATTAAAAGAAAGAAAGGAAATGGCTTTTAGCATGAAAATAAACTTTATATTGACATTAGTGCTGCTTGAAAAAATGCCTATTTAAATGTGGCGTCTCAATGATGCTGCCACAAAGGGCCACAGGAAAAAAAGTTCTCCGGCACGTTGAACCTACCTCAACTTGCACTGAAATGAAAACGGACGCCATTCAGCAGTCGAATACATGCAAGTGATGATTGATGACTTTTTATTTTGACTTGCCATTTACACTGAGCTCAGTAGATAAATCTCTGCCTTAGAATCTTTCCAGAGTTGTTAAATCCAGTCTGTGAGTGTTACAAACCGTTGTGCAGTGTTTTGGCATCTGATTTTAAACACATTGATTACTCCAACTGGACTTTCTGTATCGTCGTTTATCTTTTTATTGGTACCTTAAACAGCGTGACCCCCATCAATGGAGCCCCATGCAATTTTTTAAACGCCCGGCTATTTTTCTTTGATAGTCCCCTCACCACCTCGCAGGACAAAGTGTCGTAGTCATTGCCAAGTAAGTAGTTCTGCTGTTGATGGGTAGGGTGTTTTTTTTTTTTCATGTACTTATTTTTGGTCTCCAGAAGAGAGGAACCTAGATCCCAAGCCACTGAGAAACACTGCTGGGTTGTGCACCAAGGACATTGGAAGTGTTGTGGCCAATAAGACTTGCTACACGTAACCAGTAATCGCGGTCATTTGCCGAAAACAAAATTGTTGAATTTGAAAAAGAATCATTTCTTTTTTTCATCTTTATCTTGCAAAAGCTAGTTTCCTATAATTCAGTTGTACCATCTTGGACTCAACAGTAACACAGATTCTAATGTTCATGTGACATGCAGGAGCTTTGAGAGCACAAATTGCTCAAATTCAACACTGCAATATTGCCCACTGTGTGTCAGTAACTTTTCCAAAATGTGGGTTTTTGTAGAGGAAAAGACTCATATACGAAGCTCAAGTCTGGATGGTTTAGTCACCTGGATGCCCCTCCTATCTCTCTAAGGGTAGTACAGGTGAAACATTTTTAGCTTTTATGCAATAGTAAGCAAGTAATATGCATTTTTAGCACTCATAAGTTCTGCTGTCAAGTTTGGAGAACTGAGCTATTAAGCATAGTCTCTATATTTTCATTGTAAGTCACGATGACTTGTTGTTTTGCTGCGTGTGCAAAATTAGCAAATTTCACGTCAAAATTATTGCCGATTTTAAAACCTCCAACTCGTACAGATTGTCCTGCCAATCACAGATACGTCTTTGCATGATTGAAATACAGTTTACATTGCCTTAGGTTACACAATGGATGACATCCCTCCTCTGTCTCCTCTTAAATCTCCAACCACATTAGCAGCAGCGCCAGAGCAGGAGTGGGGCCCATCATAACAGCTGACATTACAAAATATTTTCAGTGGCTACAGCTCCTTTCCTTGCAAACTCAATGAAAATGTACCCAGAAAGCCAGGAGTACATGAGCCGAGCAAAGCCAAGCTCTTGGAGTACCTAAGTTCATTCTCTTCCAGCCTCCCCCCCCTTCTTCTTTCTCCTCCCTCTCTTTTCTTTTTCTCGGACTCTCTTTCTCTTTTCTTTAATTCACCTCCACGCTGGCCACACACACACTTACAGTACAATAATAAATGTGTTGAGATAATGTGGCTTGGAAACCATATTCAGTCCTCACTTGATTAAACACTGGAATTTTGCACGGTGCCCAGAAATGAGGTTAGCAAATGGCTTCGTTGGTTGCCAGCTTGGAAATGCACAAAAGGAAATCGAGGGAGAACATAGTGTCTGCCGCTTGCTGGCTTCTAAAAGTGCTTGATGAATGTTAGTGTACGTCACTTGGGATAATGCGAGTTAGCTGTGTGTGGACTCCAAATATGGCGGGAGTGTGGCTGTTAGAGGTTGTAATGACTGTGCTGAAGTGAGAACCCTGCACTGGGCCCCTCTCAGAAGGTACACACCTCAGCTCTGCCTTTCCTCTGCAGATGGACTCACAATGAACTCTCAGTTTCACCTCAAGCCTTGATGTTGCAAAAAACCGTAGATACACCTCAAAGATAATTGATGCAAACCCTTTATCTGTCAGCACTCATACAAATGCTGTTAAATTTTGTTTTGAAAGACTGTCTTAACTCTTTTTGGAAAAATGAATCAAAGAATCTGCACCCTATATTCCTCAATACACAGCTTTATGTAATGTAATAATCACTCATGTTTTGTGTAAGAAATGTCAGACATAGTGTTGTGTCTGTGGGCTATTTGAAGTCTCTGGTGTTGTTTGTATGTTCTGTGTGTGACACTGTCCTTTTTGTAATGTTTTTGCATAGGCCCTCCAGATGTGGAGCAGGCTTGCGAGCCAAGTGTGCGCACCTGGAGCCCCAATGCAGGGATCGAGCAAGGCGTTGTTGGCCTGTCGGAGTGCCCTCTCCAGGGCTGCATGCTTCAGCTAGAGTTCCCCTACCCGCTGGTGCCTGATTCCTTGACCGTGTGGGTCACCTTCTTTAGTCCCGAAGAAACAGCGCTGCCAGCAATCCATAACATCTTGCTGCTGACTGTCAGTGGGAACAACATTTCACTGGGCCCCAGTAATGTTTTCTGTGACACCCCGCTGACTCTGAAGCTGGACATAGAGGAGGAGGTGTACGGGGTCCAGTTTTACACCATGGAGCAACACCTGGAGATTGACGCCACTCTCTTGGCATCCAAGCCAGACTGCATCCTTTGTAGGCATTGCCAACCACTACGCTATCGCCTGTTGCGCCAACCACCCTTCACCCATGCACCACATGGGCTGATGCTAAATGAACCTACCCGCCGATATACAGACAGGTGAGTGATCTGGTAGGTGAATATTTTTGTTTCAACAAACATCTGCGTCTGTCAGCACTGTGTGACTGTGTCAGCACCATGCGTTAAACACAGTGTGTTCTCCCTAACATTCATGAGTTGAGAAATACCTAAACAGCATGTAAAATAAATGTCTGGGCTTTGTCAGGGTTTTGGAAAGCCCGATCATTCTTCCTCGTGAGGAATGAAAACCATACATTGGAACAGCCATTGCTCCACAAAGTGTTTTCTGTTAGAAATTGAGAATTGCTGAGCGGTCACCATTTAGCTTCCTGCTTTAGTGTGATGTAATTAGGGGTTTTAGACATGCCAGTGGAAGGTGTTTATTTATCTGTGGAAACTATCCACAAAAACATGTTCTTGAAATACCAGATATCCTTTTCAATACCCCCAGGACTGCTAGCAAGCCACCGCTGCTTCTGCAGTTTCAAATCTGTTGCCCAACATTTGTTTCCTAAGTCACAGGTCAGTTGTTGCCCACATTTGTTTTTTCCCATGTTCCATGAAGCAAGGGCAAATAGATGGCTTGTTGGAGGTATTATCTGCACACTGTGGTGAGAGTTTAGTGCTTTGCTTTCATGGAATTTGCTGACTTGATGAAATTGTGCTATACATGGCACCGCTGCATGTTATGCCATCTCACTATCGTGCTGTCAGCGCGGTTCACATGAGAAGGAAAGTGCTTGATAAGAGGCGAAAGGGTGAGTATGCATGTTATGCAAGGTGGAGTGATGACATCTAAGTTCCATAAAGCGTCCGAACACGACTTCCTGGTTGAATGGCAGTATCTGTGGAAGGCTGCCTGCAGTAGGGATGTATTTATTCGGAGGTTTTGGCACACTTCAGTGATTATTGATGTACTGTAGGTAGTTTTACTGCTGTGGTATATTTCACTAGCTGTGGTTGCATTCCAGTGGTAGTGGTCAGTGGCAATGGCTGTCTATTTTCTGTTGTGAGAGCATGTGGGATCTTGTCTATGTTAGATGGTCAGAGACGCTCTGTAGCAAGTAAGCATGTGTGTTCCAGCCATCAAAACCTTTAAGTCATCCGACTAAAGAATAAGTAGAACAAACAAAAATATAAGTAACTTATGGTAATGATCCAGAGGTATTACTTTATGGTGAAGCAGTGTGTGAGTGTATTAGTGTGATGTGGATTCTGCAAAGTACTGTCCTCAACAAATAATTTAAAGAAAAAGACAAGTCCATCAGGTCAGAAATTTGTCAAACATGCAATGTGATGTGGGTTTGATGAGCCATTATGCCCTCTGGCACAAATAATGTCTTGTCACACTCTTGGTCTCACAACAAACATAGCCTTTGACATGGCGACGAGTAAAGTTCACCCAGATGTTTTGGCTTGCCACAAATCCAATGCAAAGTGCTCCGTTTGATCGCTGAGGTCCAGCTGCTGAAAAGCTTTTGTTGACCACACAGAAAGTTACTTCTTCTTCTTGCAGTATGTTTCCACGGGGTTGGATGGAGGAGGGAGGGAATAGAATGATTGACCTCCCGCCGTCAGGCCACCGGCCTTCATCTGAGCCGGGGCAAACTGAACAAGAGGAACGGCTGACATCTTGGCTCTTTTGGCTCCATTCATGGGTGGTGGTTTGTTTGGAATGGCTAACGGCTGGGAGGTCAGGGTGACAGAGTAAATTATGGTGGAGAGTAAGAAGGGTGAAGAGGAGATGCAGGGTGGGAGGTTGGACTCGTTCGGGGTAAATCATCGCAAGGCTGGGGGGCTACTGCGCACCCCCTCTGTAATCGGACTCTATCCTGGTTCTGCACAACTCTTCCACATTACATGCCCCATCCATCCCTTTCGGTACTCTGCTGACAAGAACTTAGTCGGCCTGCTCTTGAAAAGAAAATACAAGATTTGCTTATTAATTTTTTGTGTCAAACCTTCTTGCTAAATGTGAAAACAACTGTCATCACTGTTAGCTCCAGTAAGTAGTCGGGTTCTGGTGTAAACATGGAGCAAGGGATTGGTTACCTTGATGCAAAATACTAAAGAGGAAGAACAGCAGTAATGAGAAGTCAGCTGCTACAACAAAGTCAGCAACATCTGTAATTTGTTGAATTAACCACCGGTAATCGAGGCTAATGTCTGGATTTTTCTTCCAGAAAACATACTTGGAGGGTGATGAATCAGGTAATGAGATGTAGTGATGGTTAACACCCGATCAGAACGTCATTGTTTCCCAAAAAAAATGTTTCTATCCAGGCAAAAATGCAATCCTGGAGTTTTCAAACTAAAACGAGGTCAGCAGCTATTCCAAAAATCTCGGTCTTACTTATCTCAAAACGCCGGACTCGTGTGGACATTAGGCGTAAATGTACCAAGAACTATGCATTTTAAAAACGTAGCACTGTGGACACACCTCAGACTGTTCTGGTGGTGGAATTGGGGGAACCGCTGTGTTCTACAATTCTGTGACTTTCTCAAAGTGACAACCTGGTGTTCACAACCTCTTTAAGAGCGTAAGCAAGGTCTGAATTTCTCTTTTAAGCTCTGTTGCCATGCATCTGTTTCTGTGACTTTTTGAATGTACATCTGAATGCACCACATTAATTCCTTCCAAGAAAGACCATCTGAAAATGCATCTGCAATTCCAGTAATGACAAAAATATATTTTGATTGGCACTGTGACATTATCATTCCTTCTCAACACTGACTTTCACAATTTAATTTACGTACATATATATATTCCTTTTATATCAGACTGGCCTGCCTGTAGGATAGGAAGCAAACAAACTATTTATATTTGGCTCAAACTGGCATTGCTTAAAAACTGGGTGAATCGGCAAGTTTCTTTTTGTGTTAATATGTTCAGAGAGAGGGTTGAATTTCTTGGGTGGAAGGTGCATCGGTGACTATTCCAGCCTCCTTTGTCGTGTAAAGGTACCAGTTAAAACCAATGGCTGCGCCTTGAGCAGCTAGCACACATATAAGTAGACTAGCGACCTGGATGCAAGCCATCAGATAAGGGATCAGGGCTCACGAAAGATCTCCTTTCTCTTTTGAAGTATCTCTTATCATTTAAGCATGCAGCATTAGTTTGTTAGCCACGCCGTAAGTGTAAAATTAATGGCAGTAAAACCCCAAATGCATGTCAGCTGCCAAACGAAGTATCGCTGTGTTTGTTGATCTTGCAGGCTCGATCTACGTTTTTTTCTAAACTTCCTTATATTTATCTGTTTTTCTCATCTGGGATCTTTCAGCCAAGAACAACAAGGAGCTACAGAATGGAAACACATCCATATGCATGCTCACACATAAGCCGAGTGCACACATCAGTGGAGGCAGGAACACACACACACACAGAGATGAACGCAGATACACACTAATGGTCTTCTTGCACTCAGTAGCAGGCACATACTGTACACCCGCACATGCTTCTATGTGTAATCACCTGGTACTATCAAAATACCCTTGAAAGGCATATTACGGTGCCTTGAGTCTGCAGGTATTTTTGGAACTTTTAAACTGTGTATTTTTTCTTACTGACACTCTTTGATTCATATTCAATCAATCAATGTAATGTAAAGGCCAACATATGCATCTTAGCCTTCCATTTTTGAAAGAGCTGAGACAAATCTTATGCAGTCCTAAATGTCTACAAGAGCAAATGACATTGAAAACATTCCAATAATAAACATTAAAAATCAATTTCATCCATTGGTAATAATGAGCCTATATTGGAATCTCCAATATAACACATGAATCACCTGCTAGCTCTTGTCATAGCAACACATGGCAGTCAAATGGAAACTGCAGCAGGGCGATCTTCAGACAAGAGTTAATGCATATAATTATAAAATTCACAAAAACACACAAACAATAAAACAAAAGACAGTTATACAGCTGAATTTATTACAGACACGCACACAGTCTGCCGCATTTCCTTCACTTCAAAGCGCACTACATCGACTTACATTCATTTGCCGGAGACGTCCCCTAGCCCTAAAGTCACCGTAACCTTAAACCAAGTCTTCACCCTAAAATGTAATGATTTATGTCTGAGCGACTTGCTTTTTGTCCCCAAAAGGAAGTCAAGATCCCACAATGTGCCTGGGTAAACAGATTTATGACCCCACAACATGAGTAATACAAGTGCACACATGGGACCCAAAACTCTGAAAGCCAAAAAGGAGAACCATGAATGAGAAACCATAACCATAAGCGACAAATCAAAACTAGAAACGAGAAACCAAAACTATAAGCAAAGAGAAAAAAAAAAATGGTCAAAACGGAAAGAAAACTATAAACAATGCAGTTGCAAATGAGAGTGCTTATGTGAAACCAGTGATTTTGTTTTTATAGCTTGTTTCAGAACGTTCCTATGCTTGCCTTTACATGATTTTTTTTTAAACCCATGTTCTTTGTTCCACATCCTGTTAAGAAACCTGCTAACATGACATTATAACTAATTGGAATTCATAAAACAGTCAATTTGCCTCAGCCTTACGTTTGTACTTGCCACGAAGGCTTTTTTAGATCCACAACGTGTGCCATTGAATTGACTGGTGGCTCACTGGAACCAGTGATTAGAACAAAACCAGAATCCAGCCCTGGTTATAGCAAAAGTAACATGTAAAGGCAAACAAGAAATAGTAGAGAAAAAGCTCAAATTTATATGATAAATTCACTTCATTAAAGCACCCTCGCTTGCACTTCAGTTGTTTCCCTGTTTTCTTTCCTTTAGTTTTGTTGCTTTGCCTATGGCTTTGGTTTCTCATTTATAGCTTTGATTTTGTTTTTCCTTTTTTTTTTTTTTGTTTATGGTTTTGATTTTCTCATTTATGTTTCTTTTCCTTTCAGACTTTTTTTTCAGACTTCCTTATCATGGTGACTCAAGAAACCATCATGGCGACTTGCACCGGCAAAGTGAGTAGTTCCCCCAATATTTCTCCTCTCCATTGTGTGTTCATCACGATGGTCCCTTGAATCGCTATGATAAGGAAACAAAACAAAGCTGGACCCAAACTGGGTAATCGCAGCCCTGTCGGCGGGTGACAAGATAGAAATAGAGGTAGATGTGTGGGAGAAGTGTGCACCGAGACAGATGTTTCTATTTGTGTTGGCTACTGGTACAAGACACTAAAAGAACACACACACTTGCCAGCAAACAGAGCAACAGTCCTATTGACCCGTTCTCCTCAGGCCTGGTCTGAGTCTCGTGTATTTACTTTCTTCTTTCTTTGTGTTGGATGTTTCCTCAAGGCTTTACATTGTAATAAAATGTTATACTTACCATAGTTTTTGTCCCTCTCTGTGTAGGGATGTGGTACCACATGTTGTATATACCTACCAGGTTCAAACAATCTCCAGCCGGAGTGAGAGCGAGCCATCTCCGCCTCTGGTGCATGATCTTGGGGCGCCCTACTGTGGGGACGGACGCATCCAGAGGTAACAGACACCCACGCACAAGCATTTAAAAACATATGTAAACGCACGCAGATGTGCAACGGAGCGTTCTCGCTGGAGTTCCTTTAACGTTTCCCAGTGTTTTTGCGTGTGTCCGTGCTTTCTAAGTGCCGCCTCCTGCTGTTTCAGTTCCAAAGGGGAAGAATGTGATGATATGAACTCTGTAAACGGGGATGGCTGTTCCAGTCAATGCAAGAAGGAGTCCTTCTTCAACTGCATTGGTGAGTCACACGGACAAAGGTGTTCTAAAGTGAAGATGTTTGCAGTCGCTGGTTCGTTTCAGTTGGTTTATCTCTTCTGCAACTTTGAACAACATAAAGCAGTTTTCCAGTGCAGGATATGGCGAGTTGTTTTCGGGAAGCGCAAATCTTTGTGTGCGTTCCGATTGCAAGAACTGCCCTGTAGATCTTCTTTCAGGGTTGGAGAAAGACGTAGCTACTCCGGGATAGGTACTTCTGAACAGTCCTGAAAAAACACTGCTGTGTCGGAGCTTGATGCTGATTGGTTAAACTCAACCTTTCTCTGTTAACATCACCAACAAAATCAACGTACAGGCTAACTTAACAAACCCTGCTATTCGTGCACTCGCAGTTTAAGTCACGACCAAAGCTGTTGGATTTTACACTGTAAGGAAAACAAAAAGACCAATTCTGTAAACGTTCGAGCCACTGTGCACCTGTCCCAGGTTCCTGCAGTGGAAACTTTCCAATATTTGACGCAATATTTGACTTCTCAAACCCATCTGCCCAATCAGAGGAAGCATAATTGCTGTAATACATATTAGTAATGATTCTGTTTGATACACAACAAGGCATCACTTGTAGTAACACAATTAATTCAGTCTTTTACTTTAAATGCAGTTCAGTTACTAAATGAAAAAGTTTCGTGTGATGTGTGCGTTTAGTATGTCGACTATTTTGTTAGCATTGACTGACGAGTTTCCAAACATATTTAACTCACCAAAAGTGTCAAGTTAAGACCCGTCCAACTGTTTTTTACTGAAAAGTTTTTTTGCTTTTCTGTACAATGGTATCATGCCTGTTTGGATTTCACTGAAACAGTTTTTTTTTCTAAATAATATTTAGCCAAAAACATCGTTCAGATTTCTCAATGAGACTCACTTGAACTGAGCTGACATCTGGGTGTACATCATCTGGGTGTACTTCAAGTACTCCATGCCTTTCTCCAAGGAATAAAATATCAGGAGGTATCATAATCACTTTGGCCTGTTGCATAAAAAAAAAAAAAAAATCTGGAAATCATTATTTTTAAAAGGGTGAGTGTAATCTTATTTTACATAGCTGAGTGAATGGCATCTCCTACTGTACATTGTTTTATTTTATGAATAGATGAATGGTTTCCTGTCCCGTCTCCCGCTGGCCGACAATCATTTCGCCCCCCCGTTGTGATTGTGTGTGTTTGTGCATGTAAAGTACATGCATGCATGGACACACATGTGTGAGCCAATGTGAAGTGGCCACTTAATCCCTGTCAGATTGCTGGATGACTGCAAAATTGGCTGTGCTGTTTTTCCACCAACTGCAGTGCTCTGGGATGTGTGTAAGTGTGTTTCTGTGAGTGTGTGTGCGTCCGACCGACACTGTCTGACATAGCTGAAGTTTTGCACAGAAATCTGACACTATAATGACGGGACCTTCTGTCCATCTGTCTGTATGTGCGAGAGAGTGCCTGCTTGTCAGTGTGTTGGATGGTGAAAGAGAGAGTTGGATGGAGAATTGACACTAAGTATACAACAGGTCTATGGTGTTACAATCTGGATGAGATTTAATAGGCTATTCACACGATTGAGCCGATTTATATCTGGAACTGATGAAATTCGCAAGTTCTTTTCACATGACCCCACCTGGTGTTACAATCCCAGCGACTGTGTCTCAATAGGGCGCCGAGCCATAATAAACACAGGTGCAGATAAAGCATAAAGCAACATGCAATCTGATGTTCTTAAAGTGTATTCACATTGCTCCCACTATCGCTAAAGTGATGGTTTTCAGGTCAGATGTCACTCTTTTTTTTGTTTTCCCCCACTTTGACACAAATATAGCTTTCATGCTGTGTTGTAAAAACACAAAACAAAACCAAGCAGGCTTGTCCGTCTCTGTACATTTTCTTATCTGTCTCTTTCTATCTTCGTTCATCTCTTCACTCCTTTTCTTCCTCCGACCCTCTTTTTTTTTTGCTCGGGCACACAACACCCCCCCCCTTTTTTTTTTTCTTCCTCCGACCCTCTTTTTTTTTTTGCTCGTGCACTCAATCACCTCCTCACTTTTTTTTTTTTTTTTCAGTGTCTGTTTATTTTGTCCCTGTCCAAATTCAAATGCTGCAGCGAATGCTCTTTCTCGCCTTTTTTTTTTTTTTTTCATCCCTTTGCTCTTCTTCTCTCTTCAGCTCACATTCTGACTATTACTCCTGCACTTTTCACAAGCCACTTTTTGAACTTCCTTCTTCTCTCGGTCTCGCTCCTTCCCTTCTTCCTCGCCTCTGTTCCTGCTGAGTGAGTGGCGGGAGCCTATTCTATATGCCCCCTCAGTAGCCCCTCGTTTTACCATTGCCAGAGCACAGAACTGACTTGAGCTTTTGGCCGTGCTGGGGATGGCTGGAATTTCGAGGAGGAGGCCCCGGCCAACTTGGCACAGAATGCCGCCTTTCCCCCTAACTGGAACCCCACCGGCTGACGCTGCTTTAGCTGAGAGCTGAGACCAATGAGGCCCAGGCTACCTCCCTGCTCTCCGCTCCCCTCTCCTCCAGTCCTTCAGTTCCAGACCTTAACTCCGGGTGGGATGTCTGGAAAAAATACTGCTGTATCTTTCTTTACCCCTTGACTTTGTCTGCCCCCACCGTTCCCCCTCCGCTCTCTGTGTTTGTTTGTCTTGCTCTCGTTTTTTATCACACTCTCACTTTCATTCCTTTTTTTTTTTTTTTTGGTTGTTGTTGTTTCTGTCTTTTTGACCATAACATGCTCTGTCACCTCCATTTATATATCTTGACACATTCAAGAATTTATCCTCCTTCTTTCACTTTTTATCCCTTGTCTTGTCACTTTTCAAAATAATAGAAATAAGATCAGAAATAGTATCTCATTGATAAAACAAATGAAACTCATCTGTACCGCTTCGTACAAATGAGGACATGCCAGATAAGTAAGAATTGGGTAGTGATAGCTATAAGCTGATTCCCTCCAAAATTGGTGTTTTTGAGCCACTTGCACTGTATAGGTAATGGCTTATTTAAACTTGCTGCCTTTTCCGCTCTCCTTTCAACTGCAGAGGAGCCAAGCATGTGCTACTACTACGATGGCGATGGGGTGTGCGAGGACTTTGAACGAGAAACGGGTGTGAGAGACTGTGGCCTCTACACCCCCAATGGCTTCCTGGACCAGTGGGCTTCCACTGTTGAAGTTTCCCATGAAGAAAAGCCCTACTGCTCTGGAGAGGTGGCTGCCGGATATCCTGCCGTTACTAAGGTAAGGCCATGCATGGTTTGTTGTGTTCGCACTGTTGCCGTCATTTAAAAAGAGCAAAAGAGTTTGACGTGACTAAAAAATAAATCTAGTATCTTGCCCAACATCCATCAATCTATTGCACAATCATGTATTCCTATCTTAGCATAAACAGAGTTGTCCTTTTATTTTTTTTGTGTTTTGGGTTCCTTTTTTTCCCCCCCCCCCCCAAAAAGAAGCCTCGGTAGCAAACTGTTTTCCTTTGCTGGTTTGCCAGTTAAGTAAGATCGGGACCTTTAATTAGATCCCTACCAGGGTGGGTGCAGAAGTTTGCTGCTCTCATTTAAATAATGCTTATTGAAGACAACAGAAGAAGCCATTGATTCCACCTAAGCCCGGTGGACGCATCGATTTGTTGCTGTTGCAACACAGAAAGGGGCTGACTGCCCAAAACATTAGGGTGAGACACACCGACATGCACACACAGTCATGTTAAATCGCTCCAGAGGACATTACATTGACTTAGATTAATTTCCTAGAAACTTAGCTTAGCCTAACCCAAACCCTTACCTGAACCTCGTCTTGCTCTTAACCTGAAACCAAAATGAAATGATTAACGCCGTTTGTCTCTGGGTCTGCACAGTGTGGCTGTGGATGCAGATTTATGTTCCCACAACACGAGTAATACAAGTCCATGCACACACACACATACAGGCACACAAAGCAGGACACATAGAAGTGCATTAGCCTCAATCCTATTTAATCCCCTCTCCCTAATATGGATGGTGAAAGCTAAGACATGTTGTTGACGTATACTATCTCTTTTAAAACCCTATTTATTATTTCAATTCATTTTCCCTCGCTGGCTTTCAAGGTATTCTTTGCTCCGACCAAATGTTAAAGCAAACATCCTGCAGTGTCTCGCATTAGTTTGTTTGACTACATTTTATGCTTTTATGAATGAATAAAGTAAAGTAAAGGCTTTGTGTAGACTTTACACCTCTACACGGACAATGCTCTCTCTCCCGAGGTACGTGTGCGATGCGGGAAGTGTGTGTTGTCGGTAGAGCTTGTTCCCACTGCTGATGATGCATTTTACAAGGCCATCGAACTAGTTATTCCTGAGCAGCTGTGGTCAGGTGCCCTGTTCACACAAAAAGTAGCAAATTAACCATTTAATGCATTTGATATTTATACGGTTTCGCTTCTGTTTGAGCGGCGAAAAGAAGGGAAAAGTGTTCCAACTAAACAACACTGCAGATGTTTTATTTTTCTGAGTGGAATGAGACACCAGTGGAACACATTCACATAACCATAAAGAAAGGATTTCTGCTGTGAAGGACACATTGCTCATACAAAAAGCTCTTTTATTGTGGAGAACACACTGTTCCCTAAGGGTCATATGTGATGAGATCACCTCATTACAAGGCCACTGAAACACAAGTGCCTATGGACGTGTGGAAAATATGCAAACACAGGTTAGCAAAACACAACGGTCTTGTCGCTATCTCGCCCTGCCTGTCCGCCTCCCCCCTACATTCTCGCACACTCAGTCATCTATCCAGTAAATTGTGAGTAGAAACACTTGTAAGCACACTGTTGCTTCAAAAAAAAAAATGTCCTGAGAGCCCATTTCTCACACCAACATCCGTGCACATTGATGTAATCACTGACTTTTATTTTCCCACTCCAGTAACATGTGCTTCAGCCACATCAGTACCATCTCTTCAACTCCAAATTAACTTTGATTATACTGTATCCTTGCAGTTTTCGGCATATAGACACACACGCACGCACAAATTCTGCATCTGCGTTCGCACACAAACCAACACGGGATCGTGCGCTGCTTCTCGCTCATGAGACTTGCTCGGAAAAACTAAGATAACTCAGTTGAAACCCTGTTCCAAGCTATTCTCCTAAGCAGTTGTGCAATTGCATGCATGTGGCTATGGCGACTCTCCTGGAAGCTCATGCCACAGTCAAAGCATGTAAGGACTAGTTGTTGAGATGAAGACCAGGCAGTAGGTTTGTCTTTGTTCAAGAATCCAGTTTAAATTTGACCACTTTGGGACAACATGTAAAACACCAAAGTGGCTGATCAGTAGCAAAACAGCGCTTGCATATTTTTGAAGGAACTTTCGGTGGCGTCCAGGCATTTCGTATTTAAACTGCTGCTTTCACTGACAATTGCCCTTGATGCCAACCAGGAATCTGCCACAGAGTGCCCAATTAAAGGTCATTCTTCAGGCATCTGGATCTTATTCCCTATCAAGAGTTCTTTGCTTTTGTTTTCTCAGTTCATGGTGTTTGAAATTTTCCTGGGTGACTGAATATTTGTTGATGAAAAGGGATGTGGAAGATCTAAAGGCATTCGCTGTGATAACAACCATGAAATCCAAAGTGGTCTCTAAGTAGCAGACTCGCTTGTGATGCTATACTGTTGATCTACAGCCGTTGTTGAGAGCTTAATCTACTTTTTTCTGCAAAATGTCTGCCTGTGCTGAAACAGTCTCACATATTGCAGTGACAGGAAGCTTAAAAGCCGTTGGGGTTGTTGTGCCAATTGCTTGGCAAAACAACGGTCATCAATATTAAAATTATGAGGTCTGAGAAACGATGACTGCTGCTGAGGTGCAAAGCATACTTTCTGTACTCAAGGGAGACAAAACTGAATGCATTGCCGCATGTGAACTTTACATTTTACTTGAAAAATGGTTTTGAACTCGACTCACGAGGTCATCTTGTATCTGGTACACACATGTACAAATTATTGGTACCCTTAACCTTAAAAAAAGGGAGGAAAAAGAAGACACGCTGTTCTCTAAAACAACTTGAAGCTAACAGAAGTTTTTGGCATCTACTGTTCCGTCTGTGAAGATTCTCAGTCATCTAGGTCATGGTTATTCTCGTAGATTAATCGTAGCAACTGGACTTGGTTGAGTTCCTTGAAGACGTGGATGAGAGGTGAAACGTCTTCAAGGAACTCAAGCAAGTACGATTAATCTACGAGAACATCCACTGTTCTCTATATTTAATGGAACAGACTAACTGCTTTTAGATTTTGTTGTAGATTAATTTCAATAAAAGAGCAAATGGAAATGGCATTGACAGAAATAATGGCACCCTTTATCTAATATTTTCTTTCGCTATATTTGCAATCGCTGCAAATGAGCACTTTTGTAGCTCTTAATGAGATTTCAGCACTTCTTAGGAGGTAGTTTGGCTTCACTCGTCCTATGTTCAATAGATTAAGATCAGGACTCATAGCGGACCACTTTAGAAAGGTCAATTTTTTTTGTTTCTTTTCAACTGTTCTTGGGTGCTTTCAGATAATTATTTGGGTGATTATCCAGTCGGAGAAGCCACGACCTGTGATAATCCCTTGATTTAGTCGTGCCCTGCACAGGTTAACGGCACCCTGTGGCCGACACAGGAAAGCAACAGCATAACACGACTGAGCCTCTTTCATGTTTCACAGTGGGGACGCTGCTCTTAAGTTTTTTCTCTTCTGTGAACATATTGCTAATGAGAGAAACCATAACGCTCTAATTTTGTTTAATTTGCCTGAAGAAAACTTTCCAATGCACATTATGACCTGTCAATACGCATTTAAGGAAGTTTGTTTTTTTAATGTTCGTCTTTATTACCTGAGATCTTCCGGGGTTTTTTTTTTAATGACGTATGTTGTCCCATGATCTTGGAGGTCAACTTGTACCTGCTTTGAAGTTTCCCTTGGTTCTTTTTGTGCCATTTGAAGTATCCTTCTGTTCAGGCCATTTTCCTCTTGCAGTTACATCCAGGGAGTTTGGCTACGTTCCCGTGGATCCCAAACGTCTTAATATTATTAGCAACTGTGGTTAAACGAACACTAAGCCACCCAGAGAAGGTCTTGTAGCCTTTACCTTTTTCTTATTCTGTGTGGAAGAACTTGCAGTGACTTCTATTTCCTTATGCGTGAGGTTACTGAGGTATTAATGGGGCCTGCAGCGACATAATATCTCTTCTCAAGAAACAACTGTTGAGAGCATTGAGTGACCGTGCATAAATATGCTTCAGTGACCCTGCCAGTACCTAAGTTTCAATATGGTTACAACACACTTATTGTCTATTCACTCAGTCTTTTTATACTAAATTTAAGTGAGGTTACAAGGATCACGATAATAAAAGAGTACAGCAAGATTCCTGTGCCTGACTGGATCAACAATAAGAGAGGCAGCAGTCATTTGTTGTTGAGGACTTGGCACACAGGGTAACATTTTGATCTCAGTCAACCGCACTCCAGAGACAATGTCATTACCACGACACAAAGCCAAAATAACAGTAAAGTTCTCTGCTGGAGTTAGTGTCTGGTTAACCGCTAGCATTCATCCCACAATATGTACCATTACTGCCTTTTCGAGTGCTTGTTTGTGTTCTGGTGTCTGTGTTAATGTGTGAGGGGGACGAAAAAAGAGAAAGAGAAAACTGGGGCCTAGAAAGAGGTTGAAAACAATCATTCGGTGTCTTAGAGAGATGTTGGGCATCAACAAGACACCTGAACAGCTTCGGTGCTCCTCGTTCTCTCCAGCACTGCATTCCTAAAAAATGTGCTTTGACCCAACCAAGGATTTTTTTCTCTATACCCCTACCATGTCATTTTGTGCACAACCCGAACAAAACCTTACCCACAGCAGTGACAGTGTTAGCCAGTGTTAGACAACTGGTATTTTTGACATGCCAAAGATGTCATCCTGCTGCAAACGTCAAAATATATAACTAAAAAATGAGGGGTAAACAACTCAACTAGTGCGATGCCATTGTGCACTTGAAAACTGCCTTAGTTTAGTTTTATCAGAAATCCACAGTATGTTGTTCTGCTATGTCTACTTCATCTTTAGTAATTTGCAAGGGTACTTCGGAAAGATCTTCATCAGAGCATGTCACAGAAGAAGATCATTCTTGCCTTATTTCTCAACATAGTCTCCTTTAACTCCAATGCCTTCAGTCCACCAGTGTTCGAGCTTGCAGAAGAAGGTCACATCTTG